GTCAGATAGGATTGCATCAGCTGAAAAAGCAAGATACTATGATCAATTTTATCAAATGCTTCAGAGAAATTCGTGTATATAACATCAAGTTGGCCATTGTTATCTAATGCCTCGGAAATAAATTGAGTAATAATGACTAGATTTGTAACAGTAGAACGCTTAGTAACAAATCTATGTTGATGTTGAGATTGTTTCCGTTGAACATTATATAAAATAATCTCAAAAATTTTATAAAACATACATAAAATAGATATGGGTCTGTAATTCTCTATATAAGATTTTTCACCACTTTTGTATACAGGACATAGGTACGTTAGCTAATTTCCAAATATCTGGGAATATTCCAGATATCAGACATGAATTAAAAATTCTTATTGAAGGTTTTGCCAATGCATGCTCCTGCACAATCCTTCAACAAAAATGATGGGATCATATATGGGCCTGATGACAGTTTGTCCTTTAGTTTTTCAGTTGCAGATATAACCTCATTTTCTTGAATGGGGTAAAAACTAACATGAACATAATTATTCACTGTACCAACTTTGTTCAAAAGCCAGATTTTGAATACACCTCACTGAAAAAATAACTGAAGGCATCAACAATATCTTGAGGATTCCCGAGTTTGTTTCCTAAGTAGGTTTCTGATCCTGGTATTCTTGTGACGTTATTCTTAGAGTGAACATATGACCAGAATCTGCCAGGATCTCTAGACAACATGTGCGGTTTTTATTTGGCTTCTAATCAAAGCACGCAAACGTTGGAATTCAAATCTATCCTGAATTTCCTGAATTTTTTTCTGAATTTAGCCTTCTGTTTGATGTTATTTATGATATCAGAATGGAACCATTTAGGATAAACATGACTAAAATTTTTGAAGTTGGGTATATGATCCTCAAAAATGCCATGTAAAATTGAATATAGGTTATCGACTAATTTATTAACGTCCTTGGACGTACCTAAATTACACCAATCAGTTTCCTCTATCTCTCCTTCAAAGATGGAAAGTTCGCTTTCCTAAAGTTATATGTGATGTTTGATTGGTTGAACTTCAAATTCTTTTCTTTGATGTGTATATCAGCTATTTTGATACTTAATGCAGGATGGTGGTTGTTTTCAGGTACAAAAGACAAATTTTCATGGGTAACATAACAAGAAAGAGGTGAAAAAAGCAGACCTAACATTCTGTTCAGGTAATTAGTTATACAGTTTGATTGTTTATACTCAAGAGTCAATTTTACTGTTGAGACCCCTCACATTCTGATAATAACAGGAGATGCTGCGTTGGTTTGGTTCACTATAACTGCTGGACGCATTTAGTTTAAATCTTCAACTATTCTGGGGTTACCTTCAACATACTTAATCATATACTTCTGTAGACCCTAGACATTTTTTGCATTAATTTCCTCCTTCAGCTTTCTGTAATGTTCAATTTGTCCTTATATGGACTGTTTGGCATCCAGACAAGTTACTTCTGCTGAACGAGGTACGCTCATGATGACTCTCTTTTTACACGCTTTGTATTAGCTTCACCTGTCTGTATGTATGCTTGTTTGTATGTATGTTTGTTTGTAACTCTCAAGCTTGGGATCTGTATTGACAGAATTATCGGCATTATTGCTTGATCTATTCGCGGGTAGATGGCGCTGTAGGTAACCTCCTTGATATATCAACAGTATTATATGATCTATTCGGGGACAGATGGCGCTGTACGTAAACTGTTTGATATATCGATATTATTGCTTGATCTATTCGCAAGCAGATGGCGCTGTATGTAACCTCCTTTTTTATATTTTGTAAGGAAAAGGAAAACGGGAAGAAAAATAAATCTAGAGAAGTTGATGTTGAGAAATTGTCAACAAAGTTCCAAGGCACATGTCGATTCTGTTGTTAAATTCTGCTTCTTGTCTTCCTTTTTCGTTTATTATTACGCCTAGATATTTGAAATCTTTTACTTGTTCTATTTTTTTATCATCTATCATTATATTTATTTCTTCGCCTCCTATGGTAATTACCTTGGTTTTATCTTTGTTCATTCTCATTTGTTTTCTCTTCAGTGTTTCATTCCATATTTTTATATTATGTTGTAATCTTTCACGTATAGTCAGTGGGCATACTTGAAGACTGGCTATAAATCAAATCATCTAAGGATGATAGCATCTC